CATCTAGTCCCCACAAGGGCCTCTACTTCCCTCCCCACCATTTGACCATCTCTAAAGTGGGCGTGCGCATAGTGGCAACTACGTCTCGCGCAAGTACCATCCCTCCATTCCCTCCATTCCCTCTTTCCCGCCATTCCCCATTCCCTCCATTCCCCATTCCCTCCATGACGGGCCATTCAGGCCCGTCATCCCCTGCATTCCACTTTTTCTCTCCCATTGTATTTTGAGTCGACTCAAAAAACATACCCACTTTTTCTCTCCCATTGTTCCGCTTTCCTACTCCAGGTGACCCACATGGACAAGTCTATTTAGTTGAGGCGCCTCAAAAGTAGACCCCTATCTCCGTGGACCCACATCGACAAGTACCGCCAGAAAAACGCGCTGCATCGTGGGCAACTACTCTCTCCCTCATGGCCATTCAGGCCCCGTTCTCCCATACCCACTTTCTCTCTGTCAGTGTCCCGCATTCCCTATCTCCAGGTGACCCACATCGACAAGTACCGGCCTCGAGGGACTCAAGACTGACGTGCTGCATAGGGGGCAACTACTTCTCCTTCAAAGCCGCCACGAGCGCGCAGTCGCCTACTTCCGCCAGGGGCTTTAAGGCTCGACCGCCGCTACCTGTCGGCGTGGACGCTCATGGAACACGAGTATGGAGCTGAAGGAGAAGAAACAGCAAACTCTGCAGGGGACGCAGGCTTTTCCCAGGCCCCTGTGCACCCACCTTTTCTCTCCCTTGTCACCTGCATTTCCCCCTGTTCAGATTTTGTGAGGCGCCTCAAAAATCCCCTTGTCACCTGCATTTCCCCTGTCAGGTGACCCGAATCGACAAGTATTGCCCTGCGATGTGCTGCATCGTGGTCAACTACTTCTCCTCGAGGATCGTTATGGTCTCTCATTCCATCTCACCCTCCCCCTCGTTTCTCACTCGCATTCCCTATCCTCCCCCCAGGTCACTCGGATAGACAAGTACCGCCTGGGACGTGCTGCATCGTGGGCAACTACTTTTCCTCAAGGCCTTTGGCCTCCCTCCCCCCCTTTCTCTCTCCCATTCACCTGACTCTCCCCCCCCCCCCCCTCCCTTCTCCAGGTGACCTGCATACAAGTACCGTCCTGAGACGTGCTGCATTGTGGGCAACTACTCTCCCTCAAGGGCCCGCCACGAGCGCGCAGTCGCCTACTTCCGCGCGCCTTGCGCCTCGACCGCCGCTACCTGTCGGCGTGGACGCTCATGGGGCACGAGTACGTGGAGCTGAAGAACAGCGCGGGGCGATTCAGTCGTACCGGCGGGCCGTGGATATCAACCCAGGGACTACCGCGCGTGGTACGGCTCGGGCAGACGTACGAGATCCTCGCCATGCCCTGCTACGCCTCTACTACTACCGGTGAGTCAGTCTAAGCCAGCTTTTATTCCAGTAGGTTGGTGATTGGTGGCATGTGGGTTTGGGGCTCGGCAGACGTACAAGATTCTCGCCATGCCCTGCCACGCGCTCTACTAGTACCGGTGAGTGTTGGGACAACTGATGCCTGGTGACTGCTGGGTTGACTCAAACGTCACATAGAAGGGGCTCGGGCAGACGTATGAGATCCTCGCGCATGCCCTGCTATGCACTCTACTACTACGGTGAGTTGAGTGTGGCACCATGCCACACTGTCCACACCGTGCCACACCATGCGGCACTCTACCATCTCTGGCAGCCTGCCATGCCCTTCTACGTGCACTTCTACATCATGATTCTTGCAGATGTTAAGATTCAGCAGCTGGTCGTGGCTGAGGCGCTTCAAAAGGTGGGGTTATCTGCCACGTATTATTCAAGCTGTCTGCCACGCATTATTCAAGCTGTCTGCCACGCATTATTCAAGCTGTCTGCCACGCATTATTCAAGCTGTCTGCCACGCATTATTCAAGCGCTGCCACGCATTACAAGCTGTCTGCCACGCATTATTCAAGCTGTCTGCCACGCATTATTCAAGCTGTCTGCCACGCATGATTCAAGCGTCTGCCACGTATGATTCAAGCTGCTGCCACGCATGATTCAAGCTGTCTGCCACGTATATTCAAGCTGTCTGCCACATATGATTCAAGCTGTCGCCACGTATGATTCAAGCTGTCTGCCACGTATGATTCAGGCCCCAAACCCAGCAGCCTCCAGCATCTCTCCAGTGCTTCCGTCCTCCAGAGCAGCCTCGCTCCTTCTTCTCCCTCTTCCTTGACACTCACTTCACCCCTGCAGAAAAGTTGAGTTTTGAGAATTCTCAAGTTGTAGTGACTTTTGAGAATTCTCAATAATCAGCCTGCAGCAGCTATCCGGTGCTTCCGCCCTGCTCCTCCTCTTCCCTTTTACCCACACTTCACCCCCTACAGAAAAGCCCCCCCGCGCCCACACTCGCGCATGTCGTGTGCCATGGGGCAGTGTTGCGAGGCGCAGCAGCTGCAGCAACCCCCCAAGCAGCCATCCGGCGCTATCGCCCACTCTCCCTCTCTCACTCGTGTCTTATCTTCCCTATCCCAAACAGAAAAGCGGCCTCCCTGCGACCCACGACTTGCGCATGTGTGTGCCAGGGAGTGCTACGGAGCCCAGCAGCTGCAGCAGCCAGCAGCGGCCATCCGGTGCTATCGCCCACTCTCCATCTCCCTCCCCTGCCGTATATTCCCTCCCCTTATTCCCTGGAGTAAAGGGGCATCCCTTCGGCCCCACGACTCGCACATGTGGTTCCATGGGCAGTGCCACGAGGCGCAGCAGCAGCCAGCAGCCACCAGCGCCATCGGCAATCACCTACTCTCCCTCTCCCCTGTGCTTATCTTCCCTATCATCTATCCCTGCAGGAAAGCGCCTCCCTGCGACCCACGACTCGCGCATGTGGGTGCCATGGGGCTGTGCTACGAGGCCCAGAAGCTGCAGCAGCCCGAGCAGCCATCCGTATCATCGCCTTACTCACGCCCTTTGCCCCCCCATGTCCTGTCTTCTATCCCCTGCAGAAGAGCGGCCTCCCTGCGACCCCACGACTTGCGCATGTGGTGTGCCATGGGGCAGTACGAAGCCACAGCTGCAGCAGCCCCAAGCGGCCATCCGGTGCTATCGCCCACTCTCCCTCTCCCTCGCTGCCATATCTTCCCCCTCTTTCCCCTGCAGTAAAGCCGCTTCCTCTCCGCCCCACGACTCCCATGGGTGTGCCATGGGCAGTGCTATGAGGCTCCGCAGCTGGAGCAACCCCAACAGCCATGCACTCTTGTCTCCTGCTCACCTGCTGTGCCACCATCTCCTTGCAGAAAAGCGGCCTCTCTCCCATGTGGCCCGTCCCCATGAATCGCACATGGGCCATCAGCCATCCGTTCTATGCGCCACCCTCCCTCTCCCCCCCGTGTCTATCCTACTACCCCAAACAGGAAAGCAGCCTCCCTGCGGCCCACGATTCCCGCATGTGGTGTGCCATGGGGCAGGCTTCGAGGCGCAGCAGCTGCAGCAACCAACAGCGCCATCCGGTGCTATCCTGTTACTCACTCCCTCTGTTCCTCCCGTCTTCACCCCCATCCATCCAGAAAAGCAGCCCCTGCGGCCCCCTGCGGCCCCCCCGGCCCCACGACTCGCGCATGTGGTGTGCCATAGACAGTGCTACGAGGCACAGCAACTGCAGCAGCAACCAGCAGCAGCCTACACTGCTGTCTCCTGCTCGCCTGCTGTGCCACCATCTCCTTCGGTGTCCCATGGGCTGCAGCAGCCCCAAGCAGCCATCGCCTTCCTGTGCCACCTTCCCCCCCCTATCCCCTGCAGTAAAGCGGCCTCTCTGCGACCCCACGACTCGCGCATGTGGTGTGCCATGGGCAGTGCTACGAGCTCAGCAACTGCACAGCCCCAAGCAGCCGTCCGGTGCTATCGCCGCGCCATCGCCAGCAATGAGAGCGAGGGCTGGCCGGCTGCACAAGCTGTCTAAACTCTATGAGGGCATGGGCAGATGAGCATGCGGCGCACTTTACAAGTAAGTTCAGAGGAGAAAAGCGCACAGAAATTGGGGGGGGGAGCAGCAGTTGAGAGAAAGGGGCTGCTCAAGCTGTCGAAGCGCTACGAGTGATGGGCAGGTGAGACATACCCCCTTTTACTAGTGAGTTCGGGCATGGCGCAAAACAGAGTGTTGATGGCATGGACTCAAAACCAGAGTGTTGATGGCATGGACTCAAAGCAGAGTGTCTGGGCATGACTCAAAAGCAAGTGTGCTGGGCATGGACTCAAAAGCAGAGTGTCTGGCATGGACTCAAAAGCAGAGTGTTGCTGGGCATGGACTCAAAAGCAGAGTGTGATGGCATGACTCAAAAGCAGAGTGTTGATGGCATGGACTCAAAAGCAGAGTGTTGATGGCTGGGGAGTGGGAAAAGGGCTGGTGCGGTAGAATCGCCGGCAACGAGAGCGAGGGCTGGCCCGCACTAGCTGTCGAAGGGCAATGAGGCGGTCTGCCCACTTCTACAAGCAAAGGGGGTGAGGGATAAGGGAGTATAGGTTGGGGAGGGCTGGCCCTGCACAACTGCGAAGCTGATGAGGGCATGGGCAGATGAGGCACGCTGCAAATTCTTCAAGTGAGTTAAGGGGGGAGGTGTGATTGGAGATTGGCTGCTTTTGAGTCGACCAAAAGTCACGTCGTTTTTTAGTCGACTCAAAAGTCACGTAGCAAGTAAAATGGCGGGAGGTGTGATTTGAGATGACTGGCCCAGACAAGCTGTCTGCACTGTATGAGGGCAGCAGCGGCAGATGTGACGTGTGGCTCATTTGTACATGCGAGTGTTGAGGGGTATGGAGTGGGAAAAGGAGCTGCGAGGGAAGGGGAGTCCCCTTCTAGCTGCCCAAGGAGGGGATATCGCCAGCTATGAGAGCGAGGGCCCTGCACTAGCGTCGAAGCTGTACGAAGGCATCGGCAGATGAGGCGCTGCGCACTTTACAAGTAAGAAGGAGGTGGGGATAAGGGAGTAAGGTTGGGGAGGGCTGGTGCTGCACTAGCTGTCGAAGCTGTGTAAGGCATTGGGCAGATGAGCGTGCTGCCCACTTTTACGAGTGAGTTCAGAGCAGAAAGGGAAGGAAGTTGGAAGAGCATTTTGAGAGCGAGGGGACTGCACTGCTCAAGCTGTCGAAGAATACGAGCGTGGCATTCAGCTCATTTTTACAAGTGACAAAGGTGGGTAAAGGGGTGGGTAAAGGGGTGGGTAAGGGGTGGGTAAAGGGGGTAAAGGGTGGTAAAGGGTGTAAAGGGTGGGTAAAGGGGTGGGTAAAGGGGTGAAGGGGTGAAGGGGTGGGTAAAGGGGTGGGTAAAGGGTGGGTAAAGGGTGGGTAAAGGGGTGGGTAAAGGGTGGGTAAAGGGTGGTAAAGGGGGGTAAAGGTGGGTAAAGGGGTGGTAAAGGGGTAAAGGGGTGGGTAAAGGGTAAAGGGTGGGTAAGGGGTGGGTAAAGGGTGGTAAAGGTGGGTAAAGGGGTGGTAAAGGGTGGTAAAGGTGGAAAGGGGGGGTAAAGTGGGGAAGTGGGGAAAGCCCCAGCGGCCATCTGGTGCTATCGCCACGCCATCACACACCAACGAAGCGAGGGGGCGCTGCACCAGCTGTCGAAGATCTTCGAGGGCGTGGGCAGATGTGCTTGCGGCTCTCTTCTAACAAGTGGGCAGCAGGTGAGGATAGGGAGGTGGGTGTGGTGTGTAGCAGGTGGGCGAGGGCTGGCTCTGCACAAGGGTGCTGCATAAGGGGTCTGCACAAGCGGTGCCCCTCACTTCAACGTCACAAGCAGATGCGGCATGCGGCTCTCTTCTACGAGTCAGTTGAGAGGGAAAAACGCACGCGGACGAGAGCACAATGGCGCAAGCATGCAGATCCTTATTAAGTGCGATGATCCCGATTAACTGAAGGCTCTTGTGTTCCCATCAGCTGCATTCCCATTCCCCAATCTGCTGTATGTGCTCCCCCTACGCCAGGCGCAATTTGGACGCATGGACGGGAGCAGGTGGAGGGCCGGAGCTGGTGGAGGCACTTCTCTTCCTGGCCACGTACCACCGCTCCCAGGGGACTTTGCCGAGGCCGAGAGATACTCCACACGCCTGCTGGACTTTGGCGGCCCTGTGAGTTCCCCTAGTGTGTTCTGATGAAACACCGGTGGCAGCTGGCTACTGGTGGAGGCTCTTCTGTTCCTAACCACATACCACCGCTCCAGGGGACTTGGCCGAGGCCGAGAGAGCTCCGCATGGACTTTTGCGGCCCTGTGAGTTTCAGTAGTTTGCTGGTAAGTGGCTGACTGGTAAAATCTCTTCTGTTCCTCGCCATGTACCATCGCTCTGAGGGCAGCTTAGCAGAGGCCGAGAGATACTCTCCACACGACTGCTGGACTTTTGGCGGCCCTTGAATTCTTACAGGTTGTGGATAACATGATGGTGGATCCTATCTGTGGTTTATCTAGCTGAGAACATGTCATGCATGTTGTTGGCTGCAACCTGCTTTCAACATGAAAGCTTTCTGAACGCATTCATCCCACATGCACAGATGCTATAACCTACCCTTTCACCTTCTAAGCTGTTCATGCACCTGATAACTGACTTTGTTTACGTTCGTTTGTGTTTGTTCGAGCATTTCTCGCAGGCGAAGGAAGATGCCAAGGCTCTTCTGAGGGAGATTCGGAGCGTGCACCACCACCAGCATCAGCAGCACCATCACGCATGGGGACACTGGGTTCATTGGGGTTTGAAGATGAGGATGAGGATGAGGAGGAGATGTGATGATGGTGGTGACGATGGAGATGAAGAGATGGACCTTGAGGGCAGTTTTTAGCTGGTTCGGAAATAATTTCAAGGATCATTGTGGCGATGTGCGATTTATGTACAAGCCTGACAAAAACAAGGTTGGAAAATGCCGGTAAACGACTGAGTTGAGATGGTTTGTTTGTATTATACAAGGTTAGACCCAAGCGTGTGAATGAAGTATGTGGAGAGGGTTCAACTGTCGCAATCTATTGGGGACATTGTTCATTTGTGTATTTGATATTTCGTGGTGTCTTAAAACCACAGGCTAAAATAGCATGGGGGGCTTCAAGAGCGCCGTTCTTGAAAATAGTTCTTTTTGAAAAAAACGGTTCCCAGTACGATTTTGCGGGTGCGTTTTTGGCAGCTGAACAATGATACAAACGCAGTGGCGCGATTTGACGCGAGTGCGACGAGGCGGGAAACGCGCGCGCGATTCAAATGACTTTTCGCCAACTTGGTGAAACGAAAAAACCTATTGTACCTCGGGAGTATTCGGTGCACGTGTTCAAGCTCACATTACGAAGCTCCCTGACCGCGACTCGTGACTAAGGTGAAGGTAAACTGTGCAGCTTGTGTGCCGAACTCAAACATGTGTTATAGTTATCATGTTTGTATAGACTGTATAGGGTCACCTTCTAGAAGTACAACATTTAGGTGTATGTTTGTGTACTCTCTCTCTCTAATCATTCAATTCTCTTTCTAATATGGTACACGCGTAGTAGGATCCCCCCCCCCCCCCCCCTAACGCTTCCGCTCGCCCCCTAGCTGGCCCCGTCGTGCTCCTAGCCCCGTCGACCCTCCCTAGACCCGTCGCGCCCCTATCCTAGACCCGTCGCGCCCCGGCCCCGTCGCGCCCCCCTGGCCCCCCCCCCCCCCCCCTAGCGCCCCTCCTGGCCCCGCGTCGCCCCCGTCGCGACCGTCCCTAGCCCGTCGCGCCCCTTCTAGACCCGTCGCCCTCCCTGGGCCCTGTCGCGCCCCTCCTGGGCCCCCCCCCCCCCGGCCCCCGTCGCCCCTCCTGGCCCGCGCCCCTCCTGGGCCCGTCGCGCCCTCCTGCCTGGCCCCCGCGCCCCTCCTGCCGTAGGCCCCTCCTGGCCCCCATTGCGCCCTCCTGGGCCCGCCGCGCCCCTCCTGGGCCCGTAGCGCCCCTCCTGGGCCCGTAGCGCCCCTCCTGGGCCCGTAGCGCCCCTCCTGGGCCCCGTCGCGCCCCTCTGGCCCCGTGCGCCCCTCGCTGGGCCCCGTCGCGCCTCCCCTGGGCCCCGTCCGGCCCTCGCCTGGGCCCCGCCCCCTCCGGCCCCGTCGCCCCTGCTCGGCCCCGTCGCCCCTGCTCGGCCCCTGTCGCCCCGCTCGGCCCGTCGCCCCTCTCGGCCCCGTGCGCCCGCCCCGGCCCCTGTCGCAGCTGCCCGGCCCCTGTCGCACCTGCCCGGCCCCGCTCGCGGCCCTGGCCCGGCCCTGCTGTTCCTGCCGGGCCCGCGCCTCCGCCTGGGCCCCGTCGCGCCGCCCGGCCCGTCGCTGCCGCCCGGCCCGTCGCGCGCCCGGCCTGTCGCGCCGCCCGGCCCCGCCCCGGCCCGTCCGCCCCCGGCCCGTCGCGCCGCCCGGCCCCGTCGCGCCGCCCGGCCGTCGCGCCTACCCAGCCCTCGCGCCTGCCCCGGCCCTCCATACTTCCTGGTACTGTCCCCCGTTCCCCGCACCACTTTGCACCCTCCTGCACTTTCCTGCCCCGCCTTGCACCGCATGCACCCACTGGACCCCACGCGTACTGCACCGCACTGCATCGCACTGCACCGCCTGCACCCCTGCCACTGCGCACTCCCGCCTCCCTCCTCCACTGCCCCTCATGGCTGCTGAGCTTCGTTTTGATGCTGAGGGTCAGCCTCTGGAGTTCGAGGCGTGGTTGGCTGACCTTCGCCGCCACCTCACTGGCCAGCGGCAGGACGGCCACCCGCTTTCTGCACACCTAGACGGTATGCTCCCCTGCCCTGACCCCCCTGCTGTGCTGCCCGCTGATCCCACGCCCGCTGAGCGCGAGTCCACTGCCGCCGCTGCCCTTGCCCGCTCTGTCTGGCTTTCCCGCGATGCCCTTGCTCAGCTCGCCATTAGCAATGCCCTCCCCCCCCTGAGCGCCCTCGCTTTAGAACCATTACTACCGCCCAGGCCTACCTCGATGCTGTCATCAAGCGCTATTCTACCCCTCCTGCTGCCTCAGTGGGTCGCCTGATCCTCCCCCTGCTCTTTCCTGACCTGGCGTCTTTCCCCACTGTCTCTGACCTCGCTGCCCACCTGCGCTCGATAGATGAGGCCTGGCGCGCTGCCTGCACTGATGCACAGCTTAGGTCCACCAGCCTCCCATGACCTCTACCCTCTACCTCCTTGCCACCTGCCTCCCTGACCGCCTTGCCGCCGCCCGCGACCAGTTCCTTAGCATCCACCCTGCTGCTCTCACCCTCACCGACTTTGTTGCACCCTGACTGCCATAGAGACTCGTCACCGCTCCATAGCCCAGGCGAGCGGTACAGTACCGGTCCCTATCTTTCAGGGTTGTGCCCCCGCTCAGTGTACCTTCTCCGACGGCTCTGTCGCTGTGGCTGAGACTGCTGCTGCAGTGCAGTCCCGCTCGGGAAGGGCCGCCGCCCCAAGGTTGGGAGCGGCGGAGGCGGCGGGGGTGCGGGTGGGGGTAGTGGTGGAGGCGGGTCGTCCGGTGCCGGTGCGGACGTGGGGACCCTGCCCGGTCCAGCTGCCCCGCTGCCTCCACCGTTGCAGCAGCAGCAGCAGCAGCAGTCGCCGCAGCCGCAGCAGCCGCAGCAGCCGCCGCAGACGAGGCCGGCGAGTGCTCTCCCGCCTGGGTGGCCTGGAGCTGGTGGTGGTCGTGCGCGTGGTGGTGCACCGGGTGGTGGTTCTGGAGGCGGGCCCTGTCAGTACCAGATCCAGACCGGTCCTCGCCGCGGTTCGTTTGCGGTAAGATCGGTCATTCCACTCCTCGCTGTTTTCGTCGTCTGGACGACCTGTTCCGCCAGCGCTTTGGCCCGGCGCCCGACCTCCCGGACTGGCACAGCTTGCTTAGGCGTAGCATTCGGATTTTTGACTTGGACATGGATGCCATTGTAGCAGCCTTGCATGTGATGTATGCCGATGACTCTAGTGTGCTTCCCTCTTATTACCCCGTGTTGCCTAGTGTAGCTGTGCCTAGCGTAGACTCCCCTGCTGCGTCAGGCGTAGGATCTCCTGCTTTGCTTAGCCTCGGTGCTTCCACCGCTTCACTGTCGCCCCGCGCGACTGCTGCGCTTTCCTTCACCTTGGACTCTGGCGCCTCCCGGTGTTTCTTCCGCGACTCCACGACGCTGACGCCGCTGCCTGTTCCCGCTGCAGTTACTCTTGCTGACCCCTCCGGTGGTCCCGTCGTTGCCCGCAGTTCCACCTCCCTTCCCTGTCCGGCGGTTCCTTCAGGTTCGCTCACCGGTCTGCATATCCCCTCGTTCTCCAGGAACCTAGTTGGTGTCGGCTGCCTCCAGGACCTTGGCGTCACCACTACGTTCCCTGGTCACGAGCGGTATGCTGTCTGTACCGAGGCCGCCACTGGTGCCCCCCTTACCACTTTCCCCCGGGACCCGGTGTCCGGCCTGTTCACACTTGACACCGCGACGTCCCCGGCTGGGTCTTCCCCCCAGGTAGCTGCGTCCACCCAGGTTGCTGCTGCGTGCTCCTGTCGGTCCCTCACTCATCCGACTCTCCTTTGGCACCACCGCCTTGGTCACCCTGCACTCCCGCGTCTGCGTCACATGTCCCAGCACGGTCTCGTCCTTGGTCTCCCCGGTTCGTTCCCTGAGTTTCCCTCCTCCCCCGCCCCACCGTGCACGCCTTGTGTCGAGGGCCGGCTCCGCCGTGCCCCTCACTCCTCCTCTTTTCCCCCTACCACCGCACCACTGCAGACTCTGCACATGGACGTCTGGGGCCCAGCCCCGGTCCATGGGCCGCGTCGCGAGCGCTTCTTCCTAGTGCTTGTCGACGACTTCACACGTTACACCACCGTCTTTCCCCTGGAGCGGAAGGCCGACGTGCCTGACGTTCTCATCCCCTGGCTTGTCTCTGCTCGTCTCCACCGCGGTCTCCCTGCCTTGCGCCTCCACTCCGACCGGGGTGGCGAGTTCGCCTCAGGTGTCCTTGGTCGCTTCTGTCGTGCGGAGGGCATCACCCAGACGTTTACCCTGCCGGACTCCCCGCAGCAGAATGGGGTCGCTGAGCGACGCATCGGTTTGGTCATGGAGGTGGCTCGCACCTCCATGATCCACGCCGGTGCACCCCATTTTCTGTGGCCGTTCGCCGTGCGCTACGCCGCTCACCAGCTTAACCTGTGGCCGCACCCCCAGCGGCCGCAGGTTTCGCCGACCCTTCTGTGGACCGGGTCCCCTGGTGACGCGTCTGCGTTCCACGTCTGGGGCTGCCTTGCTCACGTTCGTGCCTCTGGCACGGACAAGCTCACTGCCCGCACCCTCCCCTGCGTCTTCCTCGGTTTCCCCCTTGACGCGTCCGACTGGCACTTCTACCACCCGCCGTCTCACCGCTTCTTTCACTCTCGCGACGTCACCTTTGACGAGTCCGTCTCCTTCTACCGCCGCTTCCCCACCGTGGTCCCCCGGTTACTCCCCCCCTGTTCCTGGTTCCTCCCTCCCTGGTGGCCCTGCCCCTCCCCCCCCCCCGCCCCCCGTCCGGCCCCCTCTGGTGTGTCTCACGTCACCCCCCTCCCGTCGGTCGTCCGGTCGACGAGTCTTCTGACTCTGGTAGTCCTTTGGCGCAGTCCTCGCCGTCTGTCCCTCCCCCGGTGTCTCCTCCTCCACCGCCTCCGCAGCCGCCGTCGCCGCGCTGCTGCACCGTCGTCTCCACCGCCGCCGCCGTCGTCGCCGCCGCCGCCGCAGCCGTCGCTGCAGCCGCCGCCGCCGCCGCCGCTGTCGTCGCTGCCGCCGTTTGTGGACTCTGGGGGTGCTGGCGTTGAGGTGGGTACTAGTCCCGGGGCTCCGTCGTGGCTTGTCCCGGCGGGCCTGGGGGTGGTACCGGTGCTGGCGGGGTTTCGGGCTCTGGGGGTGTCCCTTCTGGGGGTGCAGGTGTGGAGGGTTCGGGAGGTAGCCGTCGCGCAGCTTGTGGCCCTGGTGTTGGTGTTGTGTCGCCGC